AGAAAGAAGAAAATATTTATTTTTTTAAGTTCATTTATTTTGAGAGAGAGACACAGAGAGAGGTGAAAGAGAGAAAATCCCAAGCAGATTCTGCACTGTCAGAGCAGAGCTGGACACAAGCCCAAACTCACAATCTGTGAGATCCTGACCTGGGCTGAAATCAAGGGTTGGATGCTTAAATGACTGAGCCACCCAGACACCCTGAAAAATGTAAATATTAAATCAAAGATGTAAATAGTTCATAGAACTATAAAACAAAATTGAATTTAAAAATAGAAATGAAAGCAAACAGGGGCAGCTGGGTACCTCAGTCAATTAAGTGTCTGACTCTTGATTTTGGCTCAGGTCATGATCTCATGGCTCATGAGATCAAGCCCCTCAGCTGACTCTGCACTGACAGAGTGGAACCTGATTAGGATTCTCTCTCTCCCTCTCTCTCTGCCCTCCCCCACTCATGCTCTCTCTCTCTCTCTCAAAATTGATTGATTCTTAATTTAAAAAAGAAAATGGAATAAAAAAGGAATAAAAGCAAATAAAAAATTTTGCTTTAATTAATGAATTGGTGGCATACTTACATAGAAATCATCTCAAAGACCTTATAAAACAGTCATTGAAGTATATATTCCTGGGCAGATATATATTAAGAAAAATGAACAGCCCTCCAGCTATGTTAAATACTACTGTTCAGAAATCATATTGCTCATAGTGATGTTAGTATTATTATCCTTTTTTTGTAAAATTTTGATTATAAGTGGTTTGTATCTTATACGCTTTTTTCTTAACAAATTTATTTTCATAACATCTTTATGTATAATAAGCTACACACATTTCAAGTGTAGGATTTGACATTTTGATACATGTATATAACCTTGAAACAATAATCACAAACAAGAAAACGAACATATCCATCATCCCAAAAGTCTACTCCTGTTCCTTTTTAACCTCTCTCTCTCACACCTCTCCATACTTCCTCCTTAAATCCTAAGTGAATACTGATATGCTTTTTATCATTACAGATTAGTTTGGATTTTCTAACATATCTTATAAATGAAATCTACATTATGTACTCTATATTTTTGGAGAGCCAGAGGAGTTTATCTGGCCTAAGTGAACATAATTAATGTTAAGATTCACATATGTTATTGCATATATCAGTAGTTCATTTATTTTCATTCTTGAGTAGGTTTCATTGTGCAGATGTAACACAATTCATTAAGCATTCACCTGTTGATGACCACTTAGGTTGAATATAATTATTATCTATGACAAATAAAGCTGCTATGGAAACTTGTGTACAAATCTTTGTGTAAATATATTCTTTCATTTCTCTTACTAAATACTCAGAAGTGGAATGACTGGGTTATACGGTAGATGTATGTTTAAGATTTAAGAAACTACTTGGTCCCCAAACTAGCTGTGCATTTTGTATCCCACCAGCAGTGTAGGAATGACCTAGTTCCTCTAAATCTTCACTAACACTGACATGTTCAAAATTTTAAATTTCAACCATTGTAATAGATGTGCAGTCATATCTCACTGTGGTTTTAATTAGCATTTCCTTAATGACTTACTTACTCCCTTAGAAAATCTCCTCAGTGTCTCTGGTTGCTTTTGGCAACTAAAATATATTTGAACACATAAATATCATGGCCAACTAACTCTTTTGACATACCTGTGCACCTTCCTGACACAGTTAATATGGTTTGCAAGAAAAATAAAATGACAACCAATTCTAGTTGCATGCCATTTATAAGGCCATTTTTCCGTGTGTTAACACAGAACACCTCTCGATAAACTGATGCTATAAACGATGGCTGATCCTCCAGTGGTAGACCTCATAGTTCCCATTCACCTTAGCTGGTATTTGATGGGAACATTGCAGATATCCTGAGGTTTTTTTCCTCCCCCTTTCTAACAAGAAATAAGTCTTCCATTTCCATACCATTTTTCTAACCAAACGAATCCAGTGTAAGGACATGGGAAAAATGAAACAGAAAACAAAAGGCAGTAATATAAAATAGGTAATGAAAAAGATTAAAGTGAGAAATAAGATGGAGCACCTGGGTGGCTTAGTGGGTTAAGTATCTCATTCTTGGTTTCCACTCAGGTCATGACTTCATGGTTGGTGAGTTTGACCCCCATGTCAGGCTCTGCACTGACAGCACAAAACCAACTTGGGATTCTCTCTCCCTCTCTCTACCCCTCCCCCACGCACATACAGGTACACGTGTTCTCCTTCTTTCACAAAATAAATAAACATTAAGAAAAGGAAAGAAGAGGGGCGCCTGGGTGGCTTAGTTGGTTAAGCGTCCGACTTTCGCTTAGGTCATGATCTCGCGGTTCGTGGGTTCGAGCCCCGCGTCGGGCTCTGTGCTAACTGCCAGCTCAGAGCATGGAGCTTATTTCAGAGTCTGTATCTCCCACTCTCTCTGACCCTCCCCTGCTCACGCTGTCTCTCTCTCTCCTAGAAATAAATAAAATAAATTTAAAAAAAGAAAAGGAAAGAAGATCATAAAAGAGAAACAAAGAAGAGAAAATAAAGAATGGTGATAGTACTGAAAAAAGTAAAGAAAATATGGAAAAGTGAATATAATGTAGAAAGGAAAAGTCAAAGAATTTGGGCATATGCCTCCGTAAGGTTCTAGCAGAACTGGTTGATGAGGACTCCTTGAGGAGTGTGTGGTGTGGCAGAGAGGGAAGAGTGTGGTAAGTCATGAAAACCTTTTAGTTCCCTTCCATGTGCACTTGAGCCAAATACCTAAGCTCCTTGAGTCTCAGGTTTTGCTTCCGTATAATAGGGAAAATGATAATTGTCTCAGATGGTTGTTATGAGGATTAAACAAAATAAAATAAGACACATTAAAGACCTTGGTGCTGAATCACTGATGATCCCTGTTCTATGCCAGGGTATCTATTCAGGAACCTTAAAGCTGAGACAGATATAAGACAAGTCTTATTACACAGTCCATTGGCAGAAAGTTTGAGGTGAAATGGGTTGGGCAAAAGCAGCAATTTATTCATGTCTTACAAACATGGTCTTACAAACATCATACAGAGCTGGCACGAAAGAACAGACACTGTCTCATACACCATGCTTCCTTCCAAATCACTTCTATTGAGTTACAACATCAGAACAAGTCAGTTACTGAGTTACACAGTTCTTCAGACATGGAGACCTCCCCGTTAGGGTGGTTGGATTGGCTAATCAGACAAACAATTAATTTACATGTTTAATACAGCGCAGGATTTGTAACAGAATTCAAGATATTCACACTGATATTGTAATACATTATAAAACAGTATAATTTCCAGGAGATGATGGGATCGCATATGTCCCTGCCTGTTTCAATTCCTTTCTAGTTTTCCTTCTTTCTTTCCTTAAAAGCAGTTACAAAGAGTTATACTCAACTTTTCACACTCAAAAACACTTTAAATTTTAAAAACTAAAAACTATTTACAAACTAGTCATTGTAATTTTAAAAGTATTTGTTGTTGGTTTTGTTGTTCTACTTTAAAAAAATCTCCCTCCAACAACAATACTTTACTTTGTATGACCATTAACTTCTGGTTTCTGTGAGGGATACTTAGAGCTGACTCCTCACAACTGTTTAGAGCTCCAAAATATATTATATTCCATGGCCTATTGAACCACATATACATACATTAAAAGGCCATTTGACTTCCCCAAACCACGCACTAACTAAAATTCATTCCATGTTGCTTTCATAGAAATTCTGTGACATGACTTTCTGGTGGAATAAAGACAATGATTGGGGAATATTTTTTTAATCCCAAAGTCATCTTAAAGCACAAAAAAGAGGTTGACTTCAATCTTTGTACATACGGAATGTAAAACATTTTCTTTACATTAGGCATAGTCATAAAAAGCATGTATAAGTTGTTTTGAAAATGCATTGTCATAGAATTTACAAACACTGTGATATCAAACACATTCTCAAAAACTGCTCAAGTACGGACACAAAACCTGACTCAAAATGTAAATTTTTCAGTAGACTTCATTTCTAACTTGCATATTTAATAATTCAACTGTACCCAGTTTCACTCATACTCTCTAAAAACTGAAATATGGTGACAGTATCTCAAGTTCATTCTTTCAAGTAATCACAGGGCACCACTTTGCTCTAGCAGGTTTTTATTGAATTTCAGAGCCCTGGCACTGGAAAACCATACAAGACACAAATCTATAAACTGTTCCACAGACAATAGCTCAAGACACATTAGCCTAGAAAAGATAGTGAAACATACTTTGTTGTGCTAATTTGACAGCCTAAATACATTTTGTGTGAACACGTGTAAATTATATTAGGCTTGCTGTATAACTATTTTTTAGTCATTACTTTGTTGGTTTACATGATGTTTTCTAGCTGGCAGTGGATAAAACTCAAGTCTTGTTTGTTTCTTTCCAAATATTAGTTTAATCCTTTCTGAGGGAGAAGAAGCTAAACAAAGACTTAGTCAGCCATGCCCTTTCTGCGTACGAGGGATAGCCTTGAATGTACACTTGCATACTATACATATTTCCTTTCAGGAAGCTGCATTTCCAACTGGATTTCTAACTGAACTTTATTTCTTTACCACTAACTAATTTCATAACTTAACAAAGGTAAACAGGGCTTGCTTAGACCACACTGATGTTTGTGATAGCCAGTGAATAATTCAAGTTCTTATGTGAGATTATATTTTACAACATTTTGACTCACATATAACCTTAGGAGAGAGAAAATAATATTTCAGCCACAGTGTTCTCAACTCAGCCCTTTGATAAAATGATTTCTCAGCTTGTTCACTGTCCTTTTGAAGCAAAACCAAGTTACTCCTTATATAATAAAATTGTATCAAATAATTACAAACTAAAAAGAAATGAACATATACTTTTATATGCAAGACAACCATCTGCACATGACATGATGGATAAAAACAAACTAGAGAACATTTCCTTAATATCTTTGGATTTAAAGAAAAAGTGATTTCCCCATCTGAAGAAAAATGGATGAATTTTCATAAGAGAAAGCATGCTTTTCATTTCTAAATCCTAAATTGCATTGCCTTCTAGTGACATGAGCCCACCACCTTCCAAACCAGTGCATTGGGATTGCACTGAGATATTCATAAAAAGCTTGGCTACTCTGGTAACCTGCAGGAGAGATTGAATACCTCATGAAAATCTATCCAACTTCTTTAATATTGGGGGAAACGATCATGATACACATTGACGGTTACTTTCTGGTTTGCTAATTCAATCCATTTCTAACCAAAAAAACCCAAAAAAACAAAAACAAAAAAAAACAGCTTGTTGTCACAAGCTTGCAATCATGTATCAGAAAAAAAAGAAGAAAGGAAATTGCTCCTTGCCTAGTAAAAATCATTAAGTTCCAACTCATCATGTCTAGGATGCTACCCATCGCATAGCATATGCCACTTGGCAATCTGTCTCCTGGGATAGTCACAGATCTCTTTCCAGTGCTCTCCACCGGTCCCTTCTGCTGCTGCTCCCAGGACCAACCGCCCAATCACCTCATTTCTGGATCCCCTTTCAGAATCCAAAACCAGAAATTCAACACTTATCTCTTCAAGACCCTCACAAGGAATATCAAAGACAAACAGTTCATTGAACACTGCATTGGGGGTGCATTTCTTCACATGAGTCTTCTTTTTGGAGATTCTCTTTTTGGCATGGTACAGGTTCACTTTCACGTAGGGATCTGCAATGGTAAAAACAGATGTTACACTGGCAGAACCTGGCTGGAGAGCTGATTTCAATATAATGGTGCCATAGGAGGTTACTGTGTGCCAATAAAATGAGATTGCAATGAAAATGAGTCAGAACAAAGTGAAAACATAGATAAAGCTTGGCTTCTCTATTATCAACAAATTGACAATATGTAAGAATGTGCAATATGAAAACTGTTCTAAACCAGTGGATGGGAACCTAAGTGTAGGGCAGGAAGATGAGATAATATAAAGGGGAAGAAAAGAGAATATTCCAATTGCACATTCTGATTACATATAACTAATTCCAGAAAATAATATAGAAGAAAAAAAACATTAGATAAGATCTAACCTTTCTGAGTTGTTTGACTTTGGATAAACCTTTCTACCTCTCTGCTCTTTCTATTGAAGGGGTATTTAGAATTCACAGTGGCAATGTCCTTTTTTGCTTTAAATTTTGTGCTTCCTTAATCACCTGCTGAGTTTGCTTCCTGTTTTCCAGAGTTGATCTTCCTTTAATATGTGGATTTTAGGATCATGCTACTTTTTCACAATTTAATTATATTATATTTTCCTCTTTCTGGTGGAAGCATATGAACTCATTTTAGCTTCCTAATCTAAACATTTAAGACCATGTGTCTAAACGCCATTATTAAAAGTAATAATAATAATAGAGCTAAATGATATTTAATGAAGTCTATCTTTCTAGTCCTTACAATCTCTCTCAAGGCAAGTATTACTACTTATTAGTGTCTGTAGAGATTATGAAACATAGCCAAGGTTATATGCTAAAATGGAAGGGTTAGGATTTGAATTCAGGTCATTTTAACCATAGATCTTTTCACTATATGATACAAGGAATTATTTTTAATTAGTCACAAAACTAAGAGCTAATTCTTCAAGAAGACACATAAGGAATTAAAGGAAAAATGATAAAAAGAACAACAGAAGTGTAAGTATAGGTTGACTCATTAAAAACACTAAAATTAAGAACTCTTCTTTCAAACAATTGCCACATCTACCATGTATTAGCAAGGGCTTAGATCATAGAACTATGTAGTTTTATTTTTCTCGCTAACAGCATTATCTCACATTGTTATTCCATAATGAGAAACAGGGAAAAACAATCACATCACTTGAAACTATCAGTAAAAGGCAGATCAAAATCAGGTAAGCTGCTATTTCACCAATGTATTACTGAGACTGAATTTTTCAGAAGCATTCTTACCTGAAAGTCCAGACACATCAGATTTAGGCAGGTGTCGAGCTTTTAAAACAACCACAGTGAGAGTATTTGTAGTGGATTGATAGCAGAGAGAGATCAGTAACTCACCCCGTCCTGAAGACTTCTAAACAAAGAGAGATATGGAATAAATACTATTATTATTTTTTAGGTTTGAAATTTGTACTTATAGTAACATTTTAAAGCAATAAAGTATTGATATTTATATGTAGTTTTCCTACTTATTTTTATTTTAGTATGCTAAGGAATCCAAGAGTAACTGCAAGCTACTACCACTTTCTAAAAACAACTGGCTGCCATCTTGTGGTGTTTTTAGGTACTACAAGATGTTAAAATTTGTGATGAGTTAGCCACACCCATTACCAGAAATGTTTAAAGATATCTAGAGTATAGCCTCTACAGAGGATTTTTTTTAACTTTTGCTTTTTAACTAAATAATTACTTTTTGAAGTTATTATTAGGAATAAAAATTGTCTAATCATTTGAAAGGATCTGTATAGGGCAAAAGGATTCATGTTAAGTTTGATTTGATTTCTATTTTTTTTTTTAAACAGTGACGTTAATGGAATTTGAATTCAGACTAATTGAAATTTATTCTGACTGCCACCACTCTCCTGCCTCACAGGGCTGATGGAATTAAAATTCTCTGTCCTCAGCCCCCACTCAAAGTCCTCATTTAATCCAAGAAATGAATTAAGTTTCTGAGGGAACTTATTCAATTTTTAATACTTTGGTTTTGGAAAGTATCATAAGATCCTTCTTTGTGTGCTACTTAGATTTCATTTGAATGCTAAAGCCATTAGCTAAAAGACCAAGAACTCAAAGTACAAGTTTTAACTGATAGTAACAAAATGTAAACTCAGGGCTGGATTATAACTAAGAATGATGGCTGGTCAGAGCTCCTAACACTTCAATCTATATACACATGGGGTTATTATATGAATAAGCAGTCCAAGTAAGAGTAGACCTTTATTTCTCTTATACCGCTAAACATCTGAGTGTCTCAAACAAGCTACTTAATATTTCTAAACTCTGACTTTTCATTAATTTAAACAAACAAAGAAAGGTGAGCTTTATAGTATTCTACAGAATCTTTCTGCAATACTATAGTTTAAATCAATTGAGTTCTATATTTAAAGGGTAATTAAGATTAATTTGATATCTCATAATAGCCTCAGAACTACCAAAGCAGTATAGCCACAAAGGCAGAATGACTCAGGTCTTGTCATACAACACATTGAACATTTATAATTCAATATGATGTGATGTCATTTCCTTGAAAAGCAATTCCATGAAAAGTCACTACAACTTCCAAATCCTCAGGATAAACTGATTTAATTTTATATTCCAATTTCAATTTCAAATTCAATTATGAAACATCTTTGTTAACTTGCTTATGAATAAGAAATACTTGCCTGCATTTTAGCTTAAGTGGCAGTCTTAGTCAAAATACTTAAGATAGAAATTAACAAAAATATTTGTATACATGTTATTTAAATATCCATAAAGGATGTCTATTTATTTGATATAATTAAAATACTTTAAACATTTCAGTTGCGGGTTCAATTTTGTTTCATCTCCTCTATTCCCTTTCTCCCCATTTGATTATGATTAATAATAATTAAACATGGTAAAGATGATATGTATAAAACTTATCATTTTAATGAAAGCCCCCTAGATACAAAGAAGCTGAATAAAATAATGTTTATAAATACTTTAAACACTAAAAATGAATTACCCTAACATTTCTCTTGATAATCTCTCTGTTCATTAACATTTTTCCATCAGATAATTCAATTCCTGCAAGAGGAATAAGGACTTCTCCAATGACATCATCTCTTGAAAACCTGTCGAAACTCAAGATTGTGAAGTGCAAGGCCAACTCTTGGATCTGAGTATAGAGGATTCCATAGAATGTAAAGGTCTCATCAAAAGCTGGGTCCAAGGTCTTTCTCAGAACTCTGGTTTTCACTTTATGCTTCTTCTCTGGGAGAATCGTCATTTTGATATACGGGTCAGAGGTCATTGACTGCTCATCCATGGCTGGCAAGCCACGGGCTTCCTTGATATTTACCACAAATGCTTTTTTCTCAAAGTTGTACTCTAAGGAGAAGAAGAGGGTTCCAAGCTTCTCCTGTTTCTCTTCTGAAGTAAGGGAAGTGCTGGACTTTAAGCTATCAGGGGAAACAGCTTCTTTCTCCCCTTCTGAAAAGAGCTTTGGGGTCATATTCTCCAGATCAGAAGGGCTACTAGCTTTGAGGTTTGTTTTGGGAAAATTGCCATTGAGATCTCTCTTCTCAAGGTCTAGATGTAATGAATTTTTTGGCACAGCTGGCTTATTCTTTACTTCATTTTTGTCATCTGCTCCAAACTTCTTCTTGCTACTTAGGTTTTCAGGATAAATATCAACTCCTTTTAGTACATGCACAAACTTATATGGAGGAGTCTTGTTAGACTTGGATGATTTTCTCTGACAGCAGATCCATGCAAACAGAGAGACTGTGAAGACCAGGCCAAATGCACTGAAGATCCCCACCACTGTGGGGATTTCATCTGAAAAATCAAATGACCAATAACATACATTAAAGGAGCAGAGTTGGAGACATGAGCCTACTTGAAAAGCATACTGGAGCTGGCAAATGTTGTAGGCTGCACAGATTGGATTACTTTCTGACTTTTCTGGGTATGAGCTATGTACACATTTTATGTCACCTTCAGGAATAAACACATCCACTGTGTAACATGCAAAAAAAAAATGCAGTGTAACAGAAACTTCTTCATTTTGGTATTTTTTTCATAAATAAAATGAGAAGATGAAACTGGGTCTACGTTTGGATGGAGGATGCTAAATGACCCTGACCTACCTTTATTTTCTCAGATACCATGAGTCAACTACAGCATGGTAGGTCAGTACTAATTTCATTATGGTTTCTTGACATTTTGAAGCTTTCCAGAAGCATCAATTTTACTGACTATGGAGCTTTAAATGCATATTTTTGAAATACTGAGAATTTTGTATTCTTAGTAGTTCTTTATATATCCTGGATTCAAGCAGCAAACATCTAGGGGCTAACTGGTTCCAGTAATTTTAAGAAATGGAGGAACATTATCTGCTATTATCACAAACTTATCAATAATTTCCATCCCAATTATGGAGCACTGGTAAGATAAATGTTACATATATTAGGAAAAAAAGAACAAAAAAGATGAACAATAGGATATTAATATTATATAACTTTTAACACTACAAACTCATTGTACACAGACCCAAAATTTCTCAAACACTGAATTGTCCAAAGAACAAGTTAATTACACCTAAGTAGGATAAAAACCAAACAATGGTTATGAATGAATCATCGTTTCTTAACATGTAATGAGAAGAGTGAGTATAGATAATTTAGAGTTCAATTTTATCCATAACTGATTTTTTTTCTAGCATATTTCCACATGGCAAATGGTAATCAAATTGAATTTGGCATTCTTTCCTTGAATAGGGCACATTAAATTACTGACATTAGGTAATATTGATTATGCATGAAGCATATCATGTCCCATATGTAAGCATATTTCTCAAACAAATGATTAGTAACAGTGAGTAAGTAAAAGCAGTATTGCTATATCTGGACACGGTGCATCAAGTCAATATTTAATGTAGTCATAGTGAATATAACTAATGTAATATTATCTGCATTTAGTCATTCTTATCTATTTTTATCCCAAATAGTGAATAACAAAGTTAAAAGTCCCAGTCAGGAAAGGGTTAAGGCTTGTTTGAATAACCCCTGAAAGAGCAATCTTTTGTTACCCCCCCTTCCCAACCCTCCAAATCTTCTGCCTATCTACTTCATAATTTCAAAACTGAGCTCAAAGAATATAAGAATCAGCAATAGCAAATAAGAGCAGACATATATAAGAAGATTAAAAAACAACAATAAAAATTTTATAGTTTAATTATATCAAGAAACTGAATCATGGAGAGATGAAAAATAAGCCTTTGAATTCCCCAAGTAGAAAAAGCAGTGAATGCTACAGAAAAAGAATGAAGCAAGAGCTAAAGATAAGCAGCTAAACTTAGCATCTGCTTTTCAGTTTTTTCTTCTATTTAAGTCTTTGGGGAAGTGGGGATTCACTACTGGACTCTCTAATCCAAGGCCAGTGAGCAAAACCAAAGTCATGAACTAAGGCAATTCTAGGCGAACAATAAAAGCAATAGAAAATGATTCTTTTTGTTTTTATTAAACAGCCCAATGGCTCAAGCTGAAACATATTTTTCACTAGCACAATCTCTGAAAATGTCTCAGTATTAGAAAATTTCTTATTTTCCAATCAGAAATTGAGAATAAATATCATAATAATATAAACCCAATCACCCGAATGGAAGCCTGTAAAGGAAACTCATTTCTGAATATAATGTCACAGATTGTCTCTATTTAATACTTAAGTCACAAGGCAAAATATTCACTGTATAATATCATGGAAAGACTCACCTACTCCTTGTATGTTCTCTACCAATGAGATTTTAAGCTTCTGAGAGCAAAAACCTCAGTCATTTCACTCAGTTAAATAACAATTATGATGGACTTATAGTTATCATTCCTTATTCACAAAACCTCTATAAAATTTCTTGATATTTTGAATACTTGTAAAGTAAGTAAAACTCTACCTCTTGTCTCTGGAATATAATGGTACCTAACAATACTACTTTTTAATTTGAAGTAAATCTGATTTTATTTACTGAAAGAGAGAAGGAGAGAAATAGTGTCAAAAATTTGGTATAGGAAAAGGGAAATTGAACTGGAAAATAGGAGTCCTAATTCTACTTTCCAAAGCTTTTAGTTAACTGTTTGACTTGCAATACTTCCCTTATCTCTCTGGGCTTTGGTTACCTCACCTGTGAAATCCATGGGCCAAGCTGGTTCATTTCAAATACCACTTTATCCCCCTAGCATCATAGGATTCTGTGTTTTTCACTAGGAACATATTTCAAGAATACAAGGAAAACATAGCAGAGAAAAACAACCTTATGGTACACACTATAATAAAATATACATCCCAAACCACGAACATACAAGTTGTTTTATACCGAGATCAAACCCTTATGTAATCACAGAAACATTGGCTTCTCCTGGTAAGTTAAATACAGATTTACCTACAAATCAAAATCACCTACAGAATTAATGAAACCAACTGCAAACAACAGACCCCCTTTCCTTTACTTAGCGCGTGCTGCAATTTACAGAGCTACCTGAATGTTTAGCAACTTCTTGGATGTAAAATCTCCCTAGCAGAAGGCAATTGTAAGGAGAAAGATAGGGAGGAAGGAAGAAACAACAGATAAGCCACGATTGCCCCTTTACAGTTTTCATTTTCTTTTCAGATTAACTAATTGGGAAATCTATATTCAACATCCCCTGGAAAAATAAAAATAACAACAATAACATCACAGCCCACCCTGGAGTATTCAAGAAACAACCGCAGTTGTAAGTTGAGTAACTTGCTTACCAAATTCTTCCCCGCTGGTAGTGATCGGAGCCATTTTTTGCTGCGTGTTCTGTCCGAGGTGCTGAACGGAAAACTCCCTGGCTTGATTCACTTGCCTGGATCTGAAGCGCCGGCTTTCCCGAGTGCTGAAAACAACAGCGCAGAGCCCAGAGGACCTGCGCCTGGAACAGGGAGGAGGCAGAGGGGGGCGGGGGTCCACTCGCCCTCACACAGTGATTTGCCACCCCTGCTCCTGTTTTGGCTCTTCTGAGAAGCTCGTCTCTGAGACTCTAGACGTGGCTGAAACCCGAATTGACGCAATCCTGACGCTACAGGGTTGAAATCAGCACCTGCCTCCCTCCCCTCCGCCCTCCAAGCCTCTCCTCTTCCTTTCCTTCTTTCTTCCTCCCATCTCTCCTGAGGATTCAACACATACTCATCAATGATTTTAACTGTTGGACTACTGGAGATTAGCTTTGCTATTCTGTGGGGGCTCACAGGCACATGGAAATGAGCCTCCAAACTCATTCGTGTCAGTTCCTAATAGAAAATCTTCTGATCATCTAAATCAGTAAAAATGTGTCTGTGAGTTATCAGAATAATGCAATTTACAGAGATGGTTTCAGGTAAGAGTGAGAAGAGAGAAATCTCTGCATCAAATGAACACTGTGACATGCAAGAATATGTTTTCTTGCTTTCTAAATTTTTCTTTGATATGTCTTACCTTCGTTAGAAAAGATCCACCTCACATTGATCCGTTTGAAATAAGACAACAGTTTTCCCACTATAATCACTTATTTTCTAATAAATAGTCCAAACATTTTGCTGATGCTGTTGCTCCATCTGTCTGTCAGCGCTCTTCCCTTTAATATCTGACATTTGACCAGTTAAAGTACTTAGGAACAGATGGGAATAATCCCTTCTGTATTTAGACTCACTCTCTGTTATGACTTTTGCATATAATGAGACTGCTCCTGGAATGACATTTCTGGTTAAAAGCCCTGACTTCCAATAGGATTGTGCAAAATAGTTACAAGAATCAGACTGAAATTGAAAATGAATTATATTGATAATTATTGGTAATTTTCAAAGGAAAACATTTTTTTTCTGAACTGATGATATTTTTGGGGTTGAGGAACTGGAAAATATATGATGTCAGATTCTGATTAATTTTAATCAGAAGAGTGTGCCTTTTAAAAATGTTTAGCAATTTTCCAAAGGAGAGAACTCAGGCTGTAACTCCAACTATCAATTATTGCTTCGTAAATAATTTCTTTGCTCTGGAGCTCAGTGAGCAAATGACATTTAGTGTGTACTGGGATGGGGGAGGAAAGGGCACTGGGTGACTCTCAGAAAGCTACTATACAAGTGACAGTTTCCTGCACATTGGCAAGCAGTCGCTCTGAGCGTCAGGACTCTGTCTTGGGAAAAATTAGCTTCAGTCTTTTGCATCATGGAAAATTCTATGAACCAAAGTCCTTTTCTTTCCCTTTCTACTTGCTCCCACATAGTTGGCATTTTAACATTCTTCTAACAGATTTTTTTAAACCTTATATTGTCATGCTATGAAAACACACAAACCAATTTACTGTATTTAATTTTTTCCATTGGCAGAAACTGTGTTTTGTGCCCTTATCTTTTCACTTCATTCAAATTACTTGCTTCCTCAGTTATGCTTGTGGGATTGTGGGATTGGCCCTAGGAATAGACTTTCATTAGATGAAAGAGACAGTGGCATTTGTGTTTGTGATGCATACCATAGGTAAATGAAATATATAGTGTGAGGTTCACTAAAATGTGTTTGCTGGCTAAGTTATTGCTAACATATGGTTACACTCATTTATTGTAAACAGAAGTACCTTATTTGTATGTTCTATATAAATTAGTATCTCATTAATTTTACCTTCAGGTGGCAAGATGCTGTCATCTAAAACCTGTCTAGACTGTTTAAATTCTTTTTCTACAGAACCCTATCCCACCCTGGGCTGTCTCATTTCTAAGGACACATTGTGATAAAATTACCTCTTGCCCAGAGCTAATGCTATCCTGGATATAGTAACTGTTTCATTGCTTGCTTTAAAAGAAAACTGAAATAAATGTTATTAATTAAAATGTCAGAGGTCTCCATCATTTTCACTTGATGAATAGCATGTTACTTATTATCCAATCTCTTTAGACAGCTTCTATCAGCACCAGATGAGGAGTGAGAAACTGATCCAGCACAGAGGAAAAACCGGAGTTTTTTATGATTGAGATTCATACCCTACCACATTATTACATTGTTCTCTTTTGATTCAGCAAACAAGTAATCAATTCGCTGACGTGAACAATACCATTCTAGCAGCAGAGACTTGGGAGGAGGGGTTGTTGCTAGGTAACCACCTTTTTGCCACCCAAAACACACATCCTCAAACAAGTTCCCGCCATGGGAAACGTAGACCATTCTGTACAAGTGGCAGTGTTTACTTCAGAATAATTCTTTGACTATTGAAATGGTTCAGTATTATCCTACTTTATTTCAGATTTTGATTACAAATATCTATACATACTTTGAGAAAAAACAGAACATTTGAGTTCAGTTTGGTATTAAGAAATCCAGTTGAAGACTATTGATGATTCATTATCTGATTGTTTCCATCCATTTTATTCATTTAATAATCTTTTCCTTAACACATAGTTTGATTGATAAAGTTTATTTATATAGTTTATTAATTATACAGTTTTTATTTACTCTGGTCTCTTAAAAATAGTATTGTTGGATGTGTTTAGGATATTCTGTTAGGCAAAAAGAAAAAATTCAAAAGGTTTTGAAAATGTTACAGTGATCTTCAGTAATCTTTAGTAATACCCAGATTAGTAAGACAAAGACATTTTACTGGTATGTGGGTGGAGTACAGTGAAGTATCTGATAATGGTTAATTGTTGTAATGTTCCATATCATTCTATTAAGAATGCTGGCTCTGATGTTAATGGAAAAAATTTATATTACAAACACACCAACTCAAACTCCTGCAAGATAAATGCTTTCCCAGTTGGGAAAAAATCCTTTCACTATGCACCATTTCTATATTTGATTTTCTTCAACATATTCAGCATTTGCTCTGTGACAACCTAAATTAGGCTGTGATGGCTAATGAGTGCAAAACTCATTAGCCCACCCAAAACACAAAAAAAGCTTATCATCTTCCTTTCTTCTTTTGTTCAACACACAATTATTCAACATGTACTAACTCTTAGGGTTTTGGTAAGTAGGGGGTTTATATTAGTCAAGATGATAAAAACAATCTTTGCCCTAATGGAGCTTACAGACTACAGGAGAAATGGGCAGATTTTCCTCTAGAACTGGGAAACATAGATGATAATTATGTTTATATTTCATTTGGCTAGTACTTCCCCTACAAGACTGGTCAGCAGCACCACTTTCTTTCACCATACACAAAAATAAATCCAAAATAACTCATGAAACTCAACACCCCAAACCAAATAATCCAATTAAACATGGGCAGAAGACATGAACAGACATTTCTACAAAGACATAAAGATGGCCAACAGACACATGAAAAGATGCTTACCATCAGGGAAATGCAAATCAAAACTACAATGAAGCATTACCTCATACCTGTCAGAATGGCTAAAATCAAAACAGAAGAAACAACAGGTGTCGGTGAAGATATGGAGAAAAAGGAATCCTCTTGCACTCTTGCTGGGAATGCAAATTGGTGCAGCCACTGTGGAAAACAATACAGAGTTCCTTAAAAAGTTAAAAATAGCACTACCCTACGATCCAGCAATTACACTACTGGTATTTACCCAAAGAATACAAAACTACTAATCCAAAGGGATACACACACCATGTTTATAGCAGTATTATTTATGATAGCTAAGATAAGAAGCAGCCCAAGTGTCCATTGATTGATGAATGGATAGAGAAGATGTGTTTTATATATATATATATATGTTATATATATATATGTTGTATATATATGTATATATATATGTATACATACAATTCAATATTACTCAGCCATGGAAAAGAATGAAATATAGCCATTAGCAATGCCATGGATGGAGTTAGAGAGTATAATGGTAAATGAAATAAATCAATCATAGAAAGGCAAATTATCTATGGTTTCACTCATATGGAATTTAGGAAACAAAGGAAATGCGCAAAGGGAAAAAGAGAAAAAGAAAGAGAAACCAAGAAAACAAATTATTTTCCACAGAGAACAAACTGATGGTTACCATTGGGGAGGTGGGTGGGGGGAATGGGTTAAATAGGTGATAGGGATTAAGGAGTGCACTCTCATGATGAGCACCGAGTGAGTATGGAATTGTTGAATCATTATATCTATATCTGGAACTAATATAACACTGTATATTAACTAACTGGAATTAAAATAAAAGCTTAAAAAAAAGAATGGGCACAATATTGCACAGATATTCAGTCTGTCCTTACTGACCCTTCTCTTCACAATTGTAGATTAATTATTGTTGTTACAGTGAGATTGCATTCTTCCATTTTCTATGTTTGTGCACATCTTCTCTCTCCTTTAAGAGTCAGTTAAAGTTTCATTTATACTACGAAGTTTCTGACTTTCCAGTTACTCAAGAATTCATTCTGATTTAAATTCGTGTAACACTATCTCTACTGAAATCCTTTAAGTCAACCTGACATATTATTGGCTATATACCAACAATTCCCATAAAGATAAATCAAAGACCTCCACCAATGCTCACTCCAAATTATCCACAAGGTTCCCATGTGTACATGATCTTCTTTACATCAATTTTTTCATGCCTTATGACCTCATTTTATTTTTACATTCCAGGTTTGTTTTTAAGTTATGGTCTTTGAAATTACATCTCTAACTCCTCTAATAAGAATTTGACCTACAGTCATTTTATTTTAATATTTTTTTATTTTGAGAGGGGGGGGCAAGGTGGGGGAGGGGCAGAGACAGAGAGGGAGGCAGAGGATCTGAAGTCAACTCTGTGTGGAGAGCACAAACCATGAAATCATGACCTTTACCAAAGTCAGAAGATTAACCAACTGAGCAACCCAGGCACTCCAACCTGCAGCCATTTTAGAAGCTTGTCCTGTTTCAGTTTACCTTGAAGCTATTTCTTGTTAGCTCCTTACAATATATCTATCTTCAGTCTTCCTT